ATGTAGGAATGTAGACTGAGGTCTTATTTTAAATAAGCTTGTTTACAAAAATGCTATGCATGGAACAAGGTCAGATGTTACTGATGTTTAACTGTGATGTGATTCGTCTAATTTTGAGACGACAATCAACAAAGTGTCAATAAGCAACAAACTGAATCCTTGAATAAGCTTCCTCCATGGAGGAAAAGGTATTAACCGGTTTCCATGGCTGTAAAGCAGGAAACATGGCGGACCATGTATGGCTCATCCTTCAGTTCAGAGGTTTGAGGAGATTTGAGGCCAAAGAAACTCTGAGTCTCTTTGGCCTCAAACAGAAAACTAGATCACGTCTGAATGGCTTTAAGCTGTTAAAGTGGTCATAGAGGAGAAGTGCATTGTGGGAAATGGTGTTTTGTAGAGGAAAACTCTAAATACCAGGAATGCAAAGATGCATGATGATCATTTTGGTAAAGAATACTGCTGCCCCCTTGCGGTCAGAAACTGGAAAATGACCCAAACTGGAAACACAGCCGTAATAAGATTTTAGTTCAGCCTCAGTTTGAAGATCTGAACTGCAGATGTTACAGTTTCTTTGTCTTTATCTGTAATATTGAGACAATAATTATTGATGATGTTGTTTCAAGTCACTGAAATGACGACTCAGCTGCCAAGATGTTCAGTTTCAGTTCAAAGCAGCAGAACAGATAAAAATGCTGAATGAATTTGAGACGATGAAAGTTTCTAAATCAAAGAATCTCATCTTTAAGTCTTTAAACTGAGTTTTCAACATGATGACGATCTGCTGGCCTGATGCACAACTGGCTTCATAAAAAAAATGAGCAAAAACAAACAAATTGTCATTTCTGGCTGTTAAAACATATAAAAAATATTCATTAGGATCAAATGTTGACCTGAATGGTTTAATTATTCTATATAATCTGTTGGTGGTTCAATCCAACGACTTTAAATCTCCAGATTCTCTCATTAAACTTATTGATCACTGATGTGAAAAACAGCATCAAACCAGCAGCTTTGCTCTCATATTGAATGAAACATTTTCTCTTTCCGTCATTTATTCTCATGTTCCAGTTCATTTGCTAGAAGAAAACATTCAGGGTTAAAAAATAGGACAAGTCATCATTATATCTATATAATCACATCTGATCTATATGAGAAATTAAAGAAATATTCACAAATTGAAAATATTTCCTTCATGTTTTTCTGTAACTTTAATGTCAGTAAATCAATAAACTGATTGCAAATGTCTGTCTGTGTGAACTTGTGTTGTTTTAACTATAAAGTTAATTTCTGCAGAAATATCAAAGCAAATACTTTAGTTTCTGATATCAGTTTTGAAAAAAGGTTAGAAGATTAAGAAGTAAATATTTACTTAGATATTTGTTCAGATTTTTATTTTGTTTTTTTAATTATAGAAATATAAATAAATAAATTTCAAGAGGTGGTGATGTCATGATGTGGGCTGATAATAATCAAGGCTGACTAGTAAAGATTCACAAGTCAATATAATATTTACATTGAAAAGAAACAAAAAGCAGAATTAATCATTTGAAAATGTTTATTAACAGAAATGTTACGAAGCAGCAACATTTCCCAGTAAAGATGTTGATCAGCTGATCTCCAGATATTAAAATGATCATTTCTGCTGGTTTTGGAGCTGCAGCTCCTCTTCATCATTCTCTATAAATAAGTTGATTTAAAGGCTATTTGATGTAAACTAAAGTAATGTGGGGTTTACTTTTCATTTCTGTCTAAAATGTAACATGATCTAGAAGTTTATGTATATAGAAACTGGTTCTGTTCATCATGAACAGACATGTTGACTCTTAGATCTGGCCAAGTGTCAACATGACAGCAGGTTTGGGTTTTAGTTCTGTTTTAGACTTTGAACTGAGTCTCATTTTCAGAGTGAAAGAAAGAACATTTCTCTCTTTTTTAAAAGTACAGAAACAGATAAATGTGTTGTTAACTAATGCAGCAGCACGAAGGCTGGACTTTTACCTGAACTTCAGTAATTATCTTTAATTTGTGTTCATTTTATTCCTTATTCAGTTTCATTTTCTCTTTAAATATTCTCACCGTTTGCATTCAATGTTTCTTATTAAAGTTCAGAGATAAATCAAAGTGAAAACCTGCTTTATTGGATGAGAATGTATTTTATAATGTTGTAAAAATGATTAATTCTTAAATGCATTAAGTTTGATGAAAATAGTCTGAGGATTGAAAAAAGTGTCAGTAAACATTGCAGGTCTGGGCAGCACCAAGTAACCTGACAGGATCCCTGTTAAATATCCTGATATTATTTGCCTTTTGGTGACTCCACCTTTTAGCACAAATATATTTAAAACCTTGAGATGCCCTGAAACTCTAGTGAACAGGGAATAGAGCTGGAAAGACCTCAGAACTCCACAGGTTTTATCCAGGCAGGTTACAGGTGAGTCAGTCTGTTCTAGTTTATTATTGGTCAGTTTTTATGTTAAAATGTAGAGGAACTCTGATAAAACATTTAGCAGCTTGATAATGATTGGTGTTGTTAATGCACTAAAACCTGTTAATATTATAAAGATCTGGTTTCTGTTGTTTTACCAAAGATGTATTTAAAATAATAAATTGACTTTCTGCATTTTAAACTTCTAGAGAATCTGTTTCAGAACCACAGACAATATTTTATTGACTTTTTGTCCAAAAACTAAAATTCCAAAATTGAAAAAAACTCAAATCTCAAAAGTGATCAAAGCAAAGTGAAATAAACTCAAATAGTTAAAACAATGCATCGTGGGTTCTGGTTTACGCAGTCCAAAGCAAAAAGGTCAAAACAGTCAAAGTGCAGCTCTTTGTTTACTTTATTCAGTTTTTAGCTAAAAACAAGTTACAGGTTTTGAATAAACCTGCCTGAACTCCTGCACCTTTTCTCACTGATAAAACTGACCGACTGACTGATGACAGGTAAAAAACATGAGACCACATGACTAGAGACTTGTGTATAACTTTCATGAAGATGAAATTTAATCTTTTGACAACCAGAAAATACTTGAAATATTTATTTCTTAATTAACTCTTAACTTAACATGAACCAGTTCCTGTAATCAGAATCTCTTGTTGTTGGCTGTGTTCTATGATTTTGTATTTTTGTGTTTTATGATGTAAAGTTCTTTGAAATGCCTTGTTGCTGAAAGGTGCTATAAAAATAAAATGTAATTGATACAATGTAGAAATAAAGTCATGTTTATTTTTTAATCTAACTGACATGTGATAATAAAACAGTAGAAAAGAAAAACTAAACTATTTCTAGATTTTATAACAGACTGATTTTACTAAAAACTAATGTAAAATATGTCCTAATATTTTACTGCTGTGTCTATTGATCACCACAAGGTGGCAGTAACGATCTGTTTTCAAACATGAATCACATCGATGCTCTCTCCCTGTTTTGTCTTCCAGTATTAAACTCAACTTTTCCACCATGTTGATGAAATACGTCAGAATATTAAAGAAATAATTTAACAAAATCTGTCCTGATGATCTTCATCACTTCACTGATGTTGATCCATCCTGATTAGTTAAAGTCTGATGATTCTGAGCTAAAAGAGTAAAAGTGACATAAAGTTCAGAAAAATCCACCAGAAAACTATTTTCACTTTGTCATTTGTAAATATTGGTGAATCATTCAATCATTATATGAAAGTTACAGCAATCCAGTTGTTCCTTGTACTGATGTTCTGCTGCCTCTCCTCCTCTTCCTCTGTCAGGATGAAGATGATGTCCAGCATCCTGCTGCTCCTCATCCTCAGCTCATGTCTCTGTGGTCAGTCTCCATCTTGTCTTTGTGACAGAAAGCTCTCTAGATGGAGCTGAAAGACTCCCATGTTCCAGTTCTCAGTGTGTCTGCTCCTCTCTTTCCCTCTCTGTCTCCTCAGCAGCAACATTTGTAGTGAATGTGACACAGAGCAGCTATCAGGCAGAGGAGAAGCAGAACATCACTCTGGAGTGGACCTTCACCACCAAGACTCAGGGAACCTGGAAGAATCTGTTCATCTACTGTGAAGTGATCACAGATCATGGAGTCTTAGTTCTCTATCAGGTCCATGAAGGAGTTGAGATTCCAGAGTCTCAGGATGATCAGTTTTCAGGACGAGTCCAGAGCAACAAAGACGTCCTCAGAGAAGGACAAATCAATATTTCTGATTTCTCTCCCAGCACCTGCTGATCAGATCCAAACTCAGAGACCAAGATTGACTCCAGAACCAGAAGAACAAGAATGGATGAACATCATCATCATCATCTTCATCATCATCGCTGTGGCACTGACATTTCTGGCGGCTCTAATTACAAACTTAATTTTCTATGTCAAAAAAAGTAAAGAAAAACAAAAAAAAATAATCATTTAACAAGTTTAGATGCAAAATATAATACAGATAAAAGTTTTGTTCCCTTGAGTTTGGTTGATCAAATTTTACCACCACAGAAACATCAGGTTAGATTTAATAACCTGATTATTGATTAGTAAAATGTTACATTGTAATGAATTATTTAGTCATAATAAAAATGTTTATTATTATATATATTGTATATTTTAGATTTCTGATGCTTCATGACAAATTTAAATGAATACTCACAAACTGAAAATATTTCCTTCATGTTTTTCTGTAACTTTAATGTCAGTAAATCAATAAACTGATTGCAAACGTCTGTCTGTGTGAACATGTGGAGTTTAAAGATTAATTTCTACATACAGTCTGCAGAAATCTCAGAGCAGCTGGAAAATATTTTAGTTTCTAAGTTTTGAAACAAAATGTTGAGAGATTAAGAACTAAAAATACATTTAAATATTTGCTCATATTTTTCTCACTTAGGAGAAAATGAAATATTAATAAATGAGTAATTAGTGTTTTAACTCTGGTGGTTATGATGCATCTGAGAGTCTGTTGGATTGTAAAGACTCTGATATTATTATTATAAAGCTTTTGTGTTGATGCTCATAGAAGAAACAAACAGCAAATTAATCATTTTAATTAATAAGTTTTATAAAGTAACAAAAATTAAACACAAAAATTGATCAGCTGATCGACGTCCAGATATTGATCATTTCTGAAGCAGCAGCTCCTCTTCATCACTTTCTATAAATAAACTCATTTGGCCTTAATGTGGGTTTTACCGTTTTGTTTTGTCCAGCATTTTGTTATATAATCAATAAAACAAACAATTTATCATAAATGTTAGAAGATAAAACTTAACGGTGAATATTAATGATGGACAAAATATAAAAACAGAACAAATCAAACTGAACGGATCCAGTCGGTCCATCACTCAGACCTTCAGCTCTATAAGCTCACAGTTCCTAACTCCACCACCAGGTGGCGCTCCAGTAGAACCCTTGATGGTAGAACTGGTCTGAGGTCAGATCCAGCAGCTGGACTGGTTCTGCTGAGGTCCAAACGGCTGCAGCTCATGTTGGATGTTAAAAGGTTCTGCAGAGAATCAGGTTCTGACAACATGAGGGAAGAAATCTGGATTTATTTACAGCAGAACCTTCAGAACCAGAACCAGTGGAGCAGATCCAGAACTTCACTGGTTCATCAGCTGCTGCAGCTTAAAGCATCTCAGATCAGGGTTCTGGTTCTGGTTCCAGGTTCTGGTTCTGGTTCCAGGTTCTGGTTCTGGTTCTGGTTGAGTCCAGAATGTCTGTCTCCAGCAGTCAGCGGGTCAGAACCAGAACCAGAACATCACTGCTGCTGGTTCATGAACAGAAGAAAGAAAATCAGATAAAACCTGAAAAACTGAACTTAACAATAAATTATAATCTTAGATTAAATTCTCTTTAAGGCTCATTTATGTTGAGTTTCAGTTTTAAAATCTTTCAGCTGCTGAAAAAATCAACCAAATAAATTAATTTGTTGTTTGATGCTGAAAATGTATATTCCTCTAAATCTGATCAAATTGTTTCTAATGATAAAGTGACTGAACTATCTCTTCTCTCTTTATCATTATTAAAATAAACATCTAATAGTAGAAAACATTTCACAAAAAAAAAAAAAAAGAATCATCAGAGCTGCTGCTGTCAGTCCCACAGAGACGATGATGATGATGCTCCTTCCTCTTCTCTCTGGTTCTGGAGTCAATCTTGGTCTCTGAGTTTGGATCTGATCAGCAGCTGCTGGGAGAGAAATCAGAAATATTTATTAATATTTGATGGAAACTGAGATCCAGGAGGATTCATGGAGAAGATGAAGAAATTCAACAACTCAAAATATTTCTTCTCACCAGAAACGTTGAGTCGACATCTTCCAGAGTTGAATCCATCTCCAGTTTTCACGTCACACAGATACAGACCAGAGTCTTCAGTCCTCAGTCTGGACACATGGAGTCTGATTCGTCCTTCTCTGAGGACGTCTTTGTCGCTCTGGACTCGTCCTGAAAACTGATCATCCTGAGACTCTGGAATCTCAACTCCTTCATAGACCTGATAGAGAACTAGTTCTTGATGAGGAGCCAACAAGCTGCAGAAGATGAACAGATTCTTCCAGGTTCCCTGAGTCTTGGTGGTGAAGGTCCACTCCAGAGTGATGTTCTGCTTCTCCTCTGCCTGATAGCTGCTCTGTGTCACATTCACTACAAATGTTGCTGCTGAGGAGACAGAGAGGGAAAGAGAGGAGCAGACACACTGAGAACTGGAACATGGGAGTCTTTCAGCTCCATCTAGAGAGCTTTCTGTCACAAAGACAAGATGGAGACTGACCACAGAGACATGAGCTGAGGATGAGGAGCAGCAGGATGCTGGACATCATCTTCATCCCGAGAGAGGAAGAGGAGGAGAAGCAGCAGGACATCAGGAACATCATCACTAACAATATGAGGAACAACTGGATTCCTGGTTAGGAAAAGAAAAATAAGGAGTGAAATTGTTCTGTTATAATTCATGAGATAAGAATATCAGTGTATAAAATCCTTGTTGAGTGTTTTTCTAAAATTAAATTAAATGTCATAAATCACAACATGAGTGAAACAACATTGAAACAAAGTCAGGCAGAAACATTGAATCCATGTTAAAGTCTGACATTGAAATGAAATTAAAGTGCTGATTGACTTACATGTTGAATCAACATTAAAGTTTCAACCATAACTGACTATTAATGTTGATTCAACCGTCATCTTACTGTGGATCTACATGCATATTTGTATTGATTTTATATTGAATCTGTTGATTCATGTAAATCTTTTGGTCTGACATTTACATCATAACATACCAGTAAAAGTTTTTCATGGTGTTAAACACAGTTTTATTGGCAGATCTTGGCAAACATTCAAAATGATGTTACATTAACTTATTTACAAAAATGTGTGTCCAACAGGTTAAAAATGACAACATGGCATTAATATAACATTTTATCTAAGAAAACAGAAATGGATCTGTAAACATATAGTGAGGTAGGAGAGCAACAAACAACATGCTTTGATTCAAAATCGATCAGGCTTTATTGATCCACCATCAGATGTTCAGCCATCCAATAATCAACCATTCTGACTATAATTCATTTACCATTTTGTGCTGACTGGGCACTTTGCTCAAAATACTTACAAATGACTTACAAATAATAAATAAAACAATCCTTGAAACAAAATCACAATAATGCAGTTGAACCACAAAGAAAATGAAGTTGAAGCTGTGAAGAGGAGGATTGATTAGTTTCAGTCAATAGAAAATGTTTCAGTTCCACAGATCTGGAAAGTAGAAATCATCTTTCTGATCCTGGATTAATCTGAGTCTTTCTGCAGGAATTATTCTTCTACTTTCAAACATCACATGGGATTTATTTTTATCCATAACCTAAAAGTTTAATCTCACTTTCACAGATTAAAGGCTGTTTTTCATATCAATGGCTATTTAAACCAACTTAGTTCCTTCTTGCTTTCATTATTTCTGATCTCTCCATAATCTGGTCAAATCTCTCTCTCCATAATTTCTATTAATCTCAGACTTATAAAACTTATTCAGCTTCTTCTTCTTTTTTCATGCTGATCTTCCAACATCAACTCAATATGATCTTCCAGAGAGGAATCTCTGTTTCTACAGGAAAAACTGCTGAGAGCTTTAACCTCACAGCGCCCTCTGGTGGAGAACTATAGGATTTAACACAGAGTCTGTCTCCAGAAACAGTTTCGCTTTGTTTTCATAATAATTCCTCCAGCATTGAAGCTTCTGCTGCTTTAATGTTTGTGTGATTCTCTGGTTAGGGACCATCAACAAATATCTGATCGATCGAAACACAGAAATAAACCAACAGCTTCCAGATTGTGACTAGAAGATTAAATCATTTTTCTAAACTAAAGAGACGAATCAGTTGGTTAAATAAAAATGTGATGACAAGACTTTCAGCATCTTTTGTCTGACAAAAAAACATATTTATTTAAGTGCAAGCTCTTTTGAACAACAGACTATAAGAACAATGTAGAACTTTAACTCATCAAAGCTGTGATTAAACATTTCAAAGAAGGCTTAAGATAGACAGAAAACATCCCATAATAGACAGCAGGATGAGCAGAAATGGACATGAATGAATTGGTTGAGTAGAAAAATGTGTAACATGAGAGTTATTGATAAAATATCAACATTAATATTTTACATTAAGTTGTTATTCTAAATTATATAAATTTATTTCTGACAGACTCACAAATTTATGTTTTTACCTTTGTAACATGATATGGTAAATAGTTATTACTTTATTATCTCTAAAAGTGAAAGCTGCTCTACAAACCTCCACAAACGGATCTCTAAGGAAGTGACCCACTTTGGTTTGTTTTGGAGCAAGATGGGGGTCGGTGACCTCTGAATGACCTGAAACTGAATATTTAATATTTCAGAAACAAAATCAGTCAAAAGGAAATTTCTAACAGCACCAACCTGCAGTGACGGAGCACCAACACTCAGGATGTTTGTGGATTTGTGGGGTGTCAGTTTCACTCAGCTGTTCACGTCACTCTCTCAGCTACAAACAGTGAAATCACATCAAACCAGAACAAACTGATCTGCAGGATCCGAGGACAAAACGCCGATATAAATCCTGGAAGGTTGAAGTCATTTTTAAACCAGGTGACCAATCGCACCTGATCGTCATCCTCCTGATCTCCAGCTGCAGCCATATAAGGACAGAAGTCCCCCTGCATGGCGTCGGATTGTTGCGAAACCCTCAGCGGTAACATCTTCAGGCCTGCTATAGAAACCTGAGCTACTGTCCAGTATCTAACCTGTCCAGTATCTAACCTGCCCAGTATCTAACCTGTCCAGTATCTAACCTGTCCAGTATCTAACCTGCATAGATTCCTCTCCTGTCCCGATCCCTGACTCTCTCCTCTGCATAAGGACCTCCTGGCTTCGACCCCCGTCTGTCTGACCCTGTGATCTGATACCTGTTTTGACCTAGACTCTGGACCCGCGGGCTCGGATCCCCCGTCTGTCTGACTCAGAGATCAGGGGCCGCCTGATCCCGATTTGGACTCTCTGGTTCTGACCCTGGCCTGTCTGACTAAGAACTGGTTTATCTCCCAATAAACACCAGGTTTCGTATTCTCTGTTCAGTCCCTGCGTCCATCAGTGCCTGAGCGTGAAAACTTTATCACTTACATTGTGTCCAGGTCTCTGAGTAGCTTTGCTGCTGATCTCTACAGGTCAGATCTAAAATAACAGACCAAGCTATTTCTTCTTTGTGCTTCCAGTTACAGAAGGTTGAGGAATTAAATGAAGTTTGTTGGCAACTTTCATGACCAACAGCAAACAGGAGCATTCAGCTCTTAATGCTTTTGCTCACTTTGCTTTGCTTTGCTTTGCTTTGCTCCTCCTACTGGAACTCATTTCAATGAGTCTATAGAAGCAGGAATGGAAAATAGCCTTCTTCAGGACGAGTCCAGTTTATGCTCTGCAACACGAGGAGGGAGAATGTAATGAATGTCTGGCAGGAGGACAAAGAGGAGGAGAGACTCTTAACGTAAATAGAAGTTTGATCCCTCGACCGCCTCAAATTAGAAGAGCATGAAATAAACAGCATAACTGAAACAGTTTGTCAGTCTGTTAGTGTAGATCTGATCTGCAGTAGAACTAGACTATTGAACATCTTATATTAGCATCACTATCAATGTTCAGAGACCTGGAAACAAAGGCTGACAAAGCAACAAAATGTGAGGCTGATAAAGAAGAAAACTAACAGTAAGTTTATTACATGTTTGTTTATAATTTAGAGTTAGTTTGTCCATCATTAATATTCATCGTTAAGTTTTATCTTCTAACATTTATGATAAATTGTTTGTTTTATTGATTATATAACAAAATGCTGGACAAAAACAAAACGGTAAAACCCACATTAAGGCCAAATGAGTTTATTTATAGAAAGTGATGAAGAGGAGCTGCTGCTTCAGAAATGATCAATATCTGGACGTCGATCAGCTGATCAATTTTTGTGTTAATTTTTGTTACTTTATAAAACTTATTAATTAAAATGATCAATTTGCTGTTTGTTTCTTATATGAGCATCAACACAAAAGCTTTATAATAATAATATCAGAGTCTTTACAATCCAACAGACTCTCAGATGCATCATAACCACCAGAGTTAAAACACTAATTACTCATTTATTAATATTTCATTTTCTCCTAAGTGAGAAAAATATGAGAAAATATTTAAATGTATTTTTAGTTCTTAATGTCTCAACATTTTTTTTCAAAACTTAGAAACTAAAATATTTTCCAGCTGCTCTGAAATTTCTGCAGACTGTATGTAGAAATTAACCTTTAAACTCCACATGTTCACACAGACAGACGTTTGCAATCAGTTTATTGATTTACTGACATTAAAGTTACAGAAAAACATGAAGGAAATATTTTCAGTTTGGGAATATTTCTTTAATTTGTCATGAAGCATCAGAAATCTAAAATGTGTTTTTCATCTTTTGAGAAATATGAATATAATAAAGACTTTGGACACATTTGAAGCTTTTTTTTTAATCCAATCCAAAGTTTTTTGCTAATTTATATGAATTATAACATGAAAGTAAATTACAGAAAAACAAAATGTTTCATTCAATATGAGATTAAAGTTCCTGAAATTGAAACTGAGAAATTTCATAAACATTTAAGTATTTAGTAAATCCAGATACTTCTTTAAACTTTGGCTCCTTCTCTGACTTTATTAACCTGTGAAAGTAAAGCGATGTTTCTGTGTTTATGAGAGAAAGATGAGTTTCATTGGCTGGTTTCAGGTCGACTTCTGGCTCTGAAGGACTGTGATGTTCAGCCTCTGCTGCTCTCAGAGCGTCTGCAGCATCAGGACCATCAGATCCTCAGCAGGCAGAGAAACTCCTGATCTGATCAATATAGGATGCTGAGCTGGTCAGAGTTCAGGTCCAGTCAGAGATCAGGTCAGAGTTCAGGTCCGGTCAGAGTTCAGGTCCGATCAGAGTTCAGCAGCTGAGCTTCAGGATGGACCAGCAGCTCCTGCTTCCTGATCCAAAACCAAATAAAGAGCAAATTGAGTCATAATGAGACATTAAAGAGGAAACAAGCAAACAGAGATTCATTCATTCATTCATTCATTCATTCATTCATTCAGGTGAACAAGACGGAGACACAGCTGGTAGAAAAAGAATCAGGTTTTAATAAAAGCTTCAGTTTCTGATCATTGATAAAAACAACAGAGAACTACAAAAAAAAACATGTTATGAGAAATAAAACTCAAGAATCTTTGAGTTGAAACGTTGAGAAAACTTTGGACATGTTGAAGAATTAAAGTTGAAACTTCAACATTTATATTCATAAAACCTTCTATTAAAACAAACAATGATGGTGAAAATCTGTTAAAAACAACTTTAATGTTTAAAGTTTATTGTTTAAATGTATTAAATTTATAAATCATCATTTGAAAACAGTGAAATATAACAACCAAAGGTTTCATTCTGTTTTGTTTCTAACATATTGATAAAAAAATTATAATAAATTGAATCACTTTATTAGTAACAATAATACAGTGTTATTATTTTATTAAGTGTTTCATCACTTAAACACAAACACTGATCAATACGTCTGATTGAGTCAGAAAGTTTTTGGAAATGATTTAATAATTTAATAACAATAAACAGATCATTTTATTACAATTGATTAATTCATCACAATGTAACATAATAGCCATTAAATTTCTTCAATCTAACCTGGTGCTCCTGTAGTGGCAAAATTATTATCATCCAAACTCAAACAAACAAAACTTTTATCTGTATTATAGTTTACAATTAAAATTGTTGAATGATTTTTTTATTTTTTTGTTTATCTTTCTGTTTTTCCCTGACACAGAAAAACAATTTTATAATTATAAGCAACAGAGCAACAGATGCTACTGCTGTCAGTCCCACTGTGATGATGATGATGATGTTCATCCATTCTTGTTCTTCTGGTTCTGGAGTCAATCTTGGTCTCTGAGTTTGGATCTGATCAGCAGCTGCTGGGAGAGAAATCAGAAATATTTATTAATATTTGATGGAAACTGAGATCCAGGAGGATTCATGGAGAAGATGAAGAAAATCAACAAACTCAGGATTTTATCTGAGTAAAATATTTATTCTCACCAGAAACGCTGAGTCGACATCTTCCAGAGTTGAATTCATCTTCAGTTTTCACGTCACACAGATACAGACCAGAGTCTTCAGTCCTCAGTCTGGACACATGGAGTCTGATTCGTCCTTCTCTGAGGACGTCTTTGTCGCTCTGGACTCGTCCTGAAAACTGATCATCCTGAGACTCTGGAATCTCAACTCCTTCATGAACCTGATAGAGAACTAAGACTCCATGATCCGTGTTCGCTTCACAGTAGATGAACAGATTCTTCCAGGTTCCCTGAGTCTTGGTGGTGAAGGTCCACTCCAGAGTGATGCTCTGCTTCTCCTCAGGGGGGCCTCAGGGCTGTGTCCTGAGCCCCCTGCTGTTCACCCTGATGACCCACGACTGCCGTCCACACTTCAGATCCAACCACATCCTGAAGTACGCGGACGATGCCACAGTGGTGGGCCTCATCCGGGACAACAACGAGACGGCCTATAGGGATGAGGTGCGGCATCTGGTGGACTGGTGCAGAGGAAACAACCTGATCCTGAATGTCAACAAGACCAAGGAGATCATCGTAGACGTCAGGAAATCCAGACCCACCCACACACCACTCCTCATCAACGACTCAGCAGTGGAGGTCTTCAGCAGCACCAAGTTCCTGGGGGTGCACATCAACGAAAACCTCAGCTGGTCTCCCCACATCTCCTCACTGGTGAAGAAGGGCCAGCAGCGCATGCACTTCCTGCGTCGGATGAAGAGAGCATCCCTCCCGCCCCCCATCCTTCAGACCTTCTACAGAGGGACCATCGAGAGCCAACTGACCAGCTACATCTCCATCTGGTCTGGGAGCTGCAGGGCCTCTGACTGGAAGTCTACAGAGGGTGGTGAGGACAGGGGAGAAGATCACGGGGGCTCTGCTCCCCTGCATCAAGGACATCGCAGAGAGGCGCTGCCTATCTCGCGCTCACCAGATCCTCTCGACCCCACCACCCCAACCATGGACTGTTTTCCCCCTGGCGTCTGGAAGAAGGTTCTGCAGCATCTTGTGCAGAACAACCAGACTACTGAACAGTTTCTTCCCCGGGCCATCAGACTGCTTAACGCCACATAACACCCCTCCACACACACACACACGCACACACACACACACACACACACACACACACACACACACACACACACACACACACACACATACACATACACATACACACACACACACACACACACACGCATACACATACACATACACATACACATACACACACACATACACATACACATACACACACACACACACACACACACCAAATCACCCCCCCATGGACATGGTCAATACATGCACTTAGTTTAGTTTTGTTTATAACACTGAACCTGTGGATTCTATGGCACTTTATTCTTAGCTCTTATATATTTATTTAGCTATTATTTATTTATTGTGTAGTGTAAATTTTAGCTCCGTTACACTGGTAGCCAAGTAACGACATTTTGTTGTCAAGATTCACCTTGTGTTTTTTTTGTACAATGACAATAAAGGAAGTCTAAGTCTATGTATGAATTAGTTTGACTTTGTCTCCAGGTTGCTGTGAGTTGCAGATTTCTGCTCAGGTTCCTCTAGAAAATGAGATCTAGATCTCAGCAGGTTCACCTGGTTAAATAAAATAGAGAATAAAATATTGTTGACCAAACAAACAAAACTCATCTGAAGTGTCACCAAGTCAGAGCAGGAAGAGGCAGGAGAAGGAGCCTCGTTTATACTCACAGCGCCCCCTGCTGGCTGCTAATGGAAGCGCAGGAGTTCTACAGCATTGAGAGTTTCTTAAAGCGACACAAGAAAATAAAATTATTTCTGTTGGAGAATCTGAAGTTCAGCTTTTATTCTGAAGGAAGAGCTCTGGACTATTAGCTTAAAGAGACTAATAGTTTATTTAAGCTCTAGATTAAATAAACTATTTAAGTTTATTTAACTAAAAACTCTTAGAACATGAGTTTTTAGTTTTTATACTTTTAGATCAACATTTTTAGATTATTTTTCTGCTTTTGCTCTTTCCTTTAGTTTGTTGTTTTCTAGTATTTTCTTCTAATTCATGTGAAGCATTTTGAATTGCCTTGTTGAAAATGTTCTTAATAATTAAAATACATTTCCTAATACAGTAAGAAAAGGGAGCTTCATGAAACGTGTTGCAGATAAAAACACCTTCACTGTCATCAGATCAAAGACTTTTAATTAGTTTGTTAATAATG